GACCATCTCTGAAGTTTCTCAGAGATTGCTCTTTTGGAGAGGGGCATAGCATAAACCCTAAAGTACAGGAGACTCCATCTTTCTCAGCCACCAGTTTCCCCTGCGCACCTGCACACTCCCCGCAAGCAGGTTGTTAACCGGGACTAGAGGAGGTGCCTTGCTTCCTACTTGGTTCGCCCCCTGCACCTAGGGGAGGGGGAATCTCCTACTCCTGCGCTGGGTGTCCCGCCCTAGAGCCTGGAGTCCCGGTGCTCTGCGCACTCACCGGTGATGAGCACCGCGCGAGTGGCCACAGGCAGGCGCGGCTGGCGCGCCAAGCAGGACAACGCGATCCAGCCGGCGGCAGCCACCACGGCGAGTGCGGCCAGCGGGGGCAGCAGGCGCTGGCACAGCCAGTCGAGGGTAGCCAGCAGCACCAGCGCCGCCAACAGCGGGCGGTCCAGACGCAGGTCTGCGCGCAGCAGCTGCAGCAGCGCACGGGCTGCCACGAGCAGCCAGGCGCCGCCCGACGGGCAAAGCCAACGCTCCATGGTGGTCGGGATGGGGCAGGCTGGGGCAGTGGCCGGGCTGGAGGGCAAGACTCGGGGCTGGGGCGAGGTGCGCGGAGTGCAGTAAAACACCGGTCACGGTCGGGAGGGATTCTCGCTTTCTTGGTACGCCCTCGGGCCGAGCTTATAAAAGCCCCAGGGAGGGGGCGGGAGAGGGCGGGGCGAAGGCGGAGAGGGGGCGGGGCTTCCCTCCACTCCTCTCCGGGCACCCTGCTCCGGGCAGGTGCCCCGCCTCCGCCCCACCCCCCAGGGCCAGATCCGCTTTCGAAGAAGCCAGAACAAAGTCCCAAAGTTGCTGCTAAAGGAGAAGACGCCCCCCTGCGGGGCCGCCACCGGGAGAAGGCCGCTTGGTCTGGCCCTCGTGGTTCGCATCCTCTCACCCCTGCGACCCCGCCACACGCGCCCCGGTCGCTAAGCCGCCGCTCCCAGGTGAGCACGACCAGCTCACACTTACTCGGGACACCTGAGGACAGGCACAACCTCCCTCCAAGCGCCCCACATTGATGACACACCACGACTGCCGTGCCTGCCGGAACACCGCGGGAAACCAGCCTGCCCTCCCTCGGCCGCCGCCGCCAGCACACGCGCCGCACTCCCACGCTGTGCGCGGCCGCAGGGCCCTCGCACGCACACCCTGACGCGCGCTCACACCTAAGTTGCCTGCGGGCACAAAACCAGCTTTAGGGCAGAGGCCAGTGGCAGCAGGACGACCGCCCAGGTTCTTGGGCCGGTGTCTTGGGAGTCTCTGTCCTGCCTTCCCCTTCCTAGCCCTGTGGATGCAGCAGTGCCACCTCCTCCTGCCACACAAGTGTGTGTGTGTGTGTGTGTGTGTGTAAGCGTGGGAGGGTAAGAAGGGGTGCCACGGGAAGCGTCTTGGCTTCCCATTATCTCCAGCCCAACCCGAGACACTCCTAGAAGCAGGCCAATGGGAACACCTGGGAAGTCAGTGAGGGCAGTCTCTAGGACAGGGTGATGCCTGCTCTGTTCTCATGATTCCCCAGGGGATAAAATAAGTGAGTGTGGGTGTATTTCCCTTCCTGTGTGTATGAAGGTTTGAGTTTGTGTGTGGCCCGGCGGCCCTCTACCCTGGCCACCCCTGTGTCTGGCACCCTGTGCTTGGCATGCATGCCAGGGCTCTGCCTGGCACTAGGAGTTGGTGCCAGTACCTGGCTGCCAGGCCCTATGCTGAGGGCAGTAGGTGCAGCCCATGGCAGAGGGGCTCCCTGCTTCCTGTGGGCCTCTGGGTCTTGCCCAGTGCTTCATCCATTCCTGCATTAGGTAGGTCCTGGAAGGTCATAGACCCTTCCCAGCTCTGTTGCCCATTCTCTATTTTAGGTGCCCAGGCTGTGCCAGGGCTTCAAGGTAGTGCTTCTTCCAAAGTCTTCTCTGTCACCCGGGTATGGGCCCCTAGTGGGCCAGGGGATTCTCAGTAAGGGCGCTGGGAGCCAGACCCACCTAAGGGGACAGGCTCTGAGTAGAGAGAGGATCCATTTCTTGCCCAGAGTCAGTCCTATGCCACCACCTATTCCTCCTGTAGGTACAAATGACAGCTCAGCCCTGGCCATGGGAGGCAGGGCTTGTTTTGGAAGGGTGTTTGTGTCTGACCTTGGTATATGACCTTGTGTGCCTGTGTGTGCCTGTATTTGTATGCACTCATATCTGTGGGCTCCATGGCTTGTCTTTGCACATATGGTGTGGCTCTCCCTGTGCCATGACTGTATTTGCCTGTGGGTACATTTGTGTGTGCTGTGTGTATATCTAGTGACTCTTTCTTCCTTGGTCTGGGTCATCCCTTGGAAACTCAGGGAAACATTTCTTTTCCAAAACCCACTGGCTCCTGTTACCTTGAATCTATGGCCCAGACCCAGAGGTAGGCGTAGTACCCTTGGCCTGCCTCCTTGCTCTGAACTATAGACCCTAGATTGGTGGGAGCCCCCTCCCCCCCAGCTCTAGTCACCCTACTGAGAGTCTGGATGTAGTTTCCTCAGCTTCAGCCCATTAAAGGCTTCCCTTTGAGGCTAAAGAGGAGAGGGTGAGATAGGGGTCCCAGGCAGCCTTCAAGGTCAAGGCCACGGAAGTAGTACCCGTGCTTGCCAGAGCAGGAGTTTAAGGGTAGGAAGGTGGAAGCAGGAAAGCAAGGTGAGAACAGACAGAAACAGGATCCTACACTGTTCTGGGAAGGAACCATGAAGGATCCTAACTCATT